TTAACATTGACACGTATTAACATGCATTAGAACACAATAATATTCCTTATTACAATTATATCTATAAATAAAATATATATCCTTTCACGACAAAAGGAATTACTTCTCTCTGAAATTTTAATCCAAAACAAAGAAATTAATTCTTCTTTGGTACTTCTCACTTTTCAGCGATAGCGTTGATACAGATGACATAAATTATAATTATATGATAGCTAAATGTTTGAAAGTTATAATGAAAGGTTCCATTTACTTTAAATTATAAATAATTTAATTTTTAATTTTGAATGAATTATTTTTTAAATTGTTAAATTTTTAGCGTGGTACCACCGATTGGTGTAAAAAATGAAACTTCTAAACCTTCATTTGTTCCATTGGATTCGGAAGGTGTGATCGCAGCATCCAAAGCATCTCGAAAAGCATCGGCTGAAACATGGCGATTAGAAATGGATTCATTAAATATGTTCATGAATCAGGTCTTTTTCTTCAGTTAAAAAATACATTATTTTATGTCAAAAATAACAAATTAAGAAATTTTCTTTCAATATGATTAATTAGTTTTCATTATCAGAGTTACCGAGAGTTATCAAAAAATGATGTCAGTTATTCAGTACATCAGAAATGTTATCATTCGTATTAATTGCATACGCTATATGCTCATTTTTCGAAAAAAAACAATTTTAATAAATGACAATTTATCAAATTATCCCGCTTAATTTATGTGATAGATTGGATAATTTAACCTATCCATCATTTGTTATCACTTAATAATTACCGTAATTACATCATTTAGTAAATAACAACTTAAATAAATTTCATAAATTCATAAATAATTAAATTAACTCTACATTTATAGGTATTGGAACAAATGGAGAAAGGACCGGTTAGTATGACATTGGTTGCACGCATTAAAGCTCATCCATTTTATGATTCACGACCGATGGTTAAAGAATTGTTAGAGTCAATTATTGCAGCACAGCCACCATCGGTGCAAAAGCAAGCTTCGAAATTAATCCAACAACAATCTCAGGTCTAAAAAAAAGAAAGAAAAATTTTGAAAAGCTTTAAAGAAAAAAAAAACAATTTTAGACTATAAAATAAAAATGGAAAATGAAAACTTCATTTGATGTGATTTTTCTTCGAATGCTTTATGCATATTATTTAATGAATTAAATGATTTTAAATCATATCGAAAAATTATGCATATATTTTATTTAGGAATTAATTAAACGACAAACAGCTGAAGCAGCAGCAGCAGCAGCAGCGGCAGCAGCAGGAATAGGAGTAGGAGTAGGAGTAGCATCAAATGGTGAAGCAACGGTAGGAATAACAGGTAGACGAAATAGTAAGGCATATGAAATAGCAACAATATCACCAATTAAAATTGATGAAAAACGAATACCTGGAAAATATCAATCAATTGGTACAGCACAATGTAATGGACAAACGAAAAATTTTAGTGAACGACCGTGGCATAGTGTTGAAGTATGATATCATTTTATTTGTTATAAATTTTTTCAAGAATAATTAATAAAATTTTATCATAATCCATAAAATATTTTGTTTTATATATTTCTAAAAATTCTATTATAATTAGGAAATATAAATGAATTATTGAGAAATTAAATTTTCTTCTGATTCCATCAAACTAGATGTTAATTAATCTTTATAATATTAGAAATTGAAAAAAAAATGAACTGTCATATTGTTATTTTTGATTTCTAACTTTTTATGCCAGTTTATTGGTATATTTACATGATATAACATTTTAAAAATGCTATTTTTTTTTTATTTTCAGGTTGGTTTTGATCCAGATGAAGATGTGGAGCAGAACGTTGAAACACCACAATCTTTCTCTCATGATGAACTTACGGAAGAGACTGTTCAGGTTTCAGCATTTTCTTTTATAAATACCTGAATTAGTTTATTTTCTTAAAATTGAAGGAGATTTTTATCATTTTCTTTTTAATAATTGAATCATCGATTATTTGTGGTTTATAAATTAAGAGTGTTCTTTTAGGATACTTCGTTCGAAGATGCAAGTGATGGAGAAATTGTCATGGATAGTGATAGAAATCAATCAAAAGCAAATTTACGAGATCATGAAGAAGCATTGAAGGAAGATGAAGAATGTGATGATGAAGATGATGAGGAGGTTGAAGAAAGTGATAGTGAAATTGATGAACTCGGCAAAGAAGTAGAACAGGTAATTTAATTTACAAGTAAATCTTATCATAGTGTTTTTTTTCTTTTTATCCATAAAATAGGGATGCATTGGACTGATTGGTTTTATTGATTCTTAGTTTGAAGTTAAAATTGTATTTGAGCACAATCATCATCGCAATGAGGAAAATATTAGCTAGAATATGAGTGAGAAAATTTTTTAGTGATTCAAGAAAATTATTGTTTAATTCGAACTATAAATCAATGATTTTCCATCACTCACAACCTTGTAAATAAGTACAAGAAATTAATTAGTTTTGTTTTTTGAAATTAGCCATTTATCGATATCCGCACATATATTTGTCTTTGTATCTTAGTAATTAGCATTATTGCTTGGAATTTGAATTCATTCCAATTGAAGATCGAAGATGAAGAAAGCGCTTCATATCGTACAGCATTATCAGAGGAAAATCCCATAGATTCGAATGAAAATAATCCACCACCTGATCCGCATATGAAAATTGTCGCACCACAATTCGTCGATGCTTTCGATCGAGGCTTAGCAAAACGACAAAGTAAAGGAAAATATCAGGTTTATTTATTTAAATATTCCTCGTAAAAAATGCAAAGTATATATTTTTTTAAAAAAAATAAAAGGCAATAATTAAAAAATTAATAATGCATTGATAATTTTGGTAAATATTTCAAAAAACATCAAGACATTGCTAATTTTAATAAATATTTAAAAACATAAAGACATTGATAATTTTGGTAAATATCAAAAAAATGCAAAGACATTGATATTAATTTTGATAAATATTTCAAAAAACATGGAGATATTGATAATCTTGATAAATATTTAAAGACATAAAGACATTGATAATTTTGATAAATATTTTTAAAAAAAACATAAAAACATTGATAATTTTGATAAAGAATTAAAAGAAAAGAAAGAAGAGAAGTATGGATATTATGATATTGCCCAAATAAAGAAGTTATTTGGATTATAGCATAGTAAAGTAGAGCTATACGGTCGAGGTGTATCAACGGAATGTGAAAGTCCAACTTTACCACATCGTCGTATTGGTGGACCACAACCGACTATTGAAAGATCGCCATTCCTCTTTGATAAGGCACCATTTGTTTCATTCATTTTATCTTTTCTTCTTTTTTCTTAATTATTATTCGCATATTTTATCAATTCCTTACTTAAATTTTAAATATTTCGAAGTTTTTGATGTTTTAAATGTTTGAAAAAAACATAGCAACTTCTTACTTTAACATTTTAGAATTTTCTACATAGTAGTAAGATTTTATATTCAAAAATTCTCTTCTTTATTGTCGTTGTAATTTTAATTTAATCGCACAAACTTTTTCATCTGTTATTTAAGAATTCTATTAATAAGTAATATATTTCTATTTATTGAATCTCAAAAAAAATGGTAATAATGATAATAAAGTAGAAAATGAGTTTATTATTTTATAGGCAAAGAAATATATCATGACATATCCAAAACCGATTGATGATAGCGGTGATGATATTCCGGGTAGACTTGGCAAAAAAATTGTAAAAAATTGGCTACGAACACAGGATCCAGATGTTATAGTTTCGAGCAATGAAACTCCAGCTGAAATTGCAAGGTAACAGTTTAATATTTAATTTTGCGTGTTTACAAAACTTTTTTCTTCACAGTTTCATATTTAATTTTGTTTGTTTACAAAATTTTTTCCTTAATATTAAAATCTATTTAAACAATAAAAATTGATGAAAAATAACATGGAGAATTTTGCAGTAGAATTTGTTCGGTACCACCACGTTCACCACCAAATGTAATCAAATCGGAAGATGAAGTTTCTGAATCAGAAAGTGATGAAGATGAAGAAGATGATGAAAATGAGAATGAAGAAATTGATGAAGAGGAAATTAGTGAAGAAAGTGAGGCGAATAAACTATCAACAAATAAACAATCAGGTATTTGTAAATTTCGCGTCAATAATTTAAATTTAAATATTACTTGACAATTTCAAAATTTTAATTTATAGCTTCTATATATTATAAGCATTTATTATTTTTACAATTTGTATAGCTTAAAAAATATTGTTAGGAATTTCTGATCTCACTACTACAGTTGAAGTTGAGAAACGTAAACCACAAACGAATGATCTAGAAACAAATCATGTAACAGGAGATGCAAAATATCAGGTACTATTCAAATAAAAAAAAAGTTATGAAATAATTGGTACGAATAAGGAAAAAAAATTTTTTGATGAAGTAATTATCATGGATAAGAAATAAAATTCAACTAATTTGTTTAAGTGTATGCAACATTGCATTTTGGAATTGAAATTTGAATTTAGCTTGAAAAGTGAATTTCATGAAATTATAAAATTTCTAATTGTTCAATTTTATTACTTTTAATAGAAGAAAGAAGAAAAAGTTTTTTTTTTTCAATAATTGTTAAGATGAAATCGAAGGCTAAGGAAGAATGTAATAAAATGGATGTGTCATTAACGACGAGAAAAGCAAATAAGCCAGTTAGATTGGGGTTCGTTTTTGTTTGTCTTTCAAATAAATTTTTTATTCGTTTGTCAGATTTAACTGAAAAAAAATTTTTACTCTTTTCTTTTATTACTTCTTAACCAATTAAGAGCATGCCTTTAAAATATTATTCATTCATCAAATTATTTGCTTCGCTTCAAACCTCAAATATTTTTGCTACTTACTTTTCAGCTTTATACGTGAAATTATAATTCAATAATTTAATATTATTTCTCCCCCATTCCTCGCCCGTCTTTTTTCTTTTTTGATAATATGATAGTTTTCTATGACATTCATGGAGAAGATAAGGATAATCGACAGATGTGAAACTTCGAATTTCAATAATTCCCGGTCAACTTTTTCTTTTTTTTTTTGATCTGTATGCTAACTTTTTAGTAATCGATCATCAGCAATACCACCATACGATACAACTGTATCATTTTTGCGGCATCATAATTGGGATCGTCGGCGACGAAATCGTACCATTGATATTCCGGAAAATGTTTTGAAGAGGTTAGCTGTAAGCATGATGCTTATAACAGTTTGCAATTTTAAAATGCTTAATAATTGTTTTGTTCCCTTTATCTTTAAAAATCAAATTTTACGTGTGTTAGAATAACTAATAATTGAAATTAACGAATTGATTGAAGTGAGAAGAAGGAAAAATGCTTGCAAGACTTGCAGCAACAGTTATCACACATGTTATCAGTTGAAGTTAAAATTCAAAATTTACTTTACAAAAGGCAACATTATAAGGTTAATGTTCCTGCTTAATTTTATTGACAATAACGGCGTGTAAAAATAGAGGAGTCGATATTAATATAATTATCATATCGTTTCGAAATTGCAATCCTTTTATAATGTACCGCTCATATTTCATTAAAAATTTTAAGTATCCTGGCATTATGAGTTTAGGCATAATTATAATTTGATATAGGCAAGAGATACCATCTTTCGCAAATATCACAAGTTTTTAGAAGCAGAAATTTATGATTTACTGTAGAAATTCTAAATGATTATCATTATTATTTATCTCTTACATATTTAATTTTAGTCTTTAATTGTCACTTATTTTAGCATTGTTGATCATCGCGACGAAATGACGCCAAATCGATATGTTACTGGTAAGTTTAGTTTGGTTACATAAAATTAATTTTGAATTTGATACAAAATACTTCTTCAAATTTTCATAATTTGAAATTGCTATTTATTGTGTATTTGTTCATATTGTTTCTATGACGATAAAAAATGTCTAAATTCAAGCTTGATTTTAATCTCAATTTTGCAATTGAAATGAAATTTGATTTTTACAGGTTATACAATGACAACAACCAATGATACAATCGGATTACCATGGAATCGTACATCAGGTACATCTAATCGATCAATTTCACCTAGTTTAACAATTGCTGGTCGTATTTTATATCCAATCGATCCATTTTATGCTCATAATAAATTTTTAAAAGAATCGAATGGCAAAGATCTGGCTAGTACAGGTTGGTATACGAGAAATTTCCGTTAGGATAATCATTGTATTCGAAAATCGTTTAATTTCAGGAAAATTTCGGGGAAATGAAATATTTCAGGATACCCGAATCCTACTGTTTATGGACAAAATGCACGTTTTAATGATGACAATTTTAGAAGGACTACCGAAAAAGATACAGTTTCACCGACACGAATTAATGTTGTTAGTGCCATGCTTAAACTTTATTATTAAACTGATATTCCATTTTATTGATTCATGCAAGTTGATTGATTTATTTTTTTACAGGTTCTGAATCATAATTTGCATACAGTACGAGATGATAAACGAAAATCCAAATCAGCGCATGATTTTTCACCTGATCGACCTGATTTGTAATTTGTTCAACTTCTTAACATATATCTTCAAAAAAAAAAAGAATTAAAAAATACATTAGATTAGATTAATTTATTTCAATCAAGAATCTTAATGAAAGAAACTGGGAAATACAAATATTTTATTTATTAATTCAAAAATTTTAGTCCAATTCATGAAAGTTTTATTTTAAACTATAATATTTATCCTACATATTATATTTTAGGCATAGCGGAATAACCAATGTAAGCAAGCATGCTACACCTGGTTCATCCAATATCAGTCGTTATGATAATGAGGTTTCTGTTAAGTTACTCATTTCTTTTAATCATAAAATTTTATTAAAGTAATTTTGGTTGTTATTATTTATCAAATAAAATGTTCCATATAATTTTTATTTATTTTCAGTCATCAATACCTCAATCATGGGCATTAGAGCCAAAGAGATTTTATGTATATCAGACAAGAGCGGAACGTGAAGCCGAGAAAAATACAGCTGTCAGGTAACTTTAATTGACTTTTATATTGCCCGCTTTAAAGAGTAACGTTCACATGCTGTTATCACTCATTGGATCTACCTGATATTATGGATTATTTTGAATGCACAAATTAAGTTTGGTATCTTGGATAAAGCTGATTTATTGATCTTAACTGCACTCATATTTTTGCATTATTTGATAGTGAAGTTGATAAGTTATCAGTGATAAGCATATTTTAATTACATAATTATGTAATGTGGAAAAGTATTTTCTTTTTCCAGTAATTTACATCCTTCATCAACGTATCGAACAACGGGTTCTTCATGGTATAGTGGTACACCTACCGTTAATCATCCAATTTCTTCATATACATCCGATTACAAATCCAGATATGATGATAATTACTTGTATCGACGAAATAATGCCTATGATATCGATACTGGAAGCATGTTATTTAAATTATGATTTTCTTCCAAAAGTTTCTTCATGCAATTGAAACGAAAAAAAAATTAATTAAAAAATCAAACAAATAAAAATTCTTCATTCCGGAATTTTTTGTTTTCATTTTTGTTTTTGCAGCTGCTTATAATACCGAAACAACTCCTAGCATCCAAAATCAAACAAATCACGAATCAAATGGTTATTTTTTCTTCTTCAATTTATTATTTTATCATTTTCTAACTGAAATAAAACAAAGCTATGTTTGATTCATTTCATTTATATCTTAAAAATATAAAAATTGAGCATTGAAATATAATCTTTTTCTTGAATACAAAGATATTTTTATCATATCTTTGTATTCGAGATGAAGGATTATATTTTAATCATTTACAATTCGTAATAATAATTATACTTTAACAATTTTGGAAAAAATTCAAATAACGGATTTAAATGCTTTTGTTAGCTCTTAAATTTGTTGCTTTCAAGAAGTTAACTCCTATGTTGATATGATCATAATTTCATATTTCAATTTTAATTTTCATCTATCAAAGAGTATTTATCGTTGTGTGTTGTACATTATAGCTGTTTCGCATCGTTATCGACCAATTGGAAGGCATATTTCATTAGCTTTTGGTGATTCTAATCGTCGTATATATGGTCGTTCAAGTAGCATGGAAAGAAATGCGTTACGTCAAGATGATCTTGATCATTTCGGTTTGTTTGATTACTTATAAAAGTATTTTTTTTCTTTTACACTGTTAGTTGTATGAAGTAATAAAGGAGTTATTAAGATTGTTTTTTTTTCTCTTTTAACATTTATTTTTTTATGATAAATTAATAAGCATTAAAAAAAATCGGTCATTTGGTTTCTTTTTTTTTTTTTTAAATAGGTTTCCGAAATTTCATAACGACATCTGAATTGGGTAGTGGTGGTGATAAAGGAGAATATAGTTACATCAATTTTCACGATACAGCTATTCGAGGATCAACACCACATGAACCGGATCATAGCAAATTGCCAACACGAGGCATTTTAAAAAATAAACAAGTAAGCTTTACATCATTTTGAAAATTAATATCACAATATTTCAATGCTCTTTTAAATTATGATATTCTGTAATGACGCAGATTATTTTTTTTTTCAGAAAGTAAAACAAGTAAATTTTTATTGGGAAAGTTTTCAAAAAATAAAAAATAAAAAATAAGATAGCAATTTTGAATTTGCAATTAGACATTTTCGATTAGTTTGCTACGAAAAAAAGAGTTTGCTAAAACTTCATTATATCAATGATAGTGAAGAGACGCTTCATCAATGTTCAAGAAGCAAACTATTTGTAGTATAAGCTATTAGCTGTTGTGGATTGCGGAAAAGAATCTGATAATCTTATCATTATTTTGATTTTCATGCTTTATCTATCATTTTTATAAAGATTTACGCTAAATTTTCTCACTTTCAAATATTTCTAAAATTTTCAAATATTCTTGGTATGATCCATTGAAAATAAACAATGTATCCAATATAACTTTTTTTTTTCTCTCTCATATTATTTCTTTGCCTTAATTCAGTAAATAATTGAATTTATTGTGCTAAATGTATTTCTTTTTATTATTGTCTTTTGGATCATATACTTGAGTATTTCGAATTATATATTTGGCATAATTAAACCTCTATCATTTATATAAATGTAATAGTTGTTTTACCGTTCTGTACGTATTTATTAAATAATTAAATATATTGGTAAAATTTTATATTATGCTAAAATTTTCAGAGTATGGATAATGAAAGCCGTGCATCAACCGAAATATCGTCAACGGGAAACGGTCAGGGAATAGAGGGAGGAAAAGATCAGACATCAACAACTACTGGTATGTTTTTTTTTTTTGTTGTTGTTGTTGAAATTATAATCGGTCATAGCAAATTTTATCAAAATAAATTAGCAATAGCATGTTTTTAAACAGTATTTTAATTGTTCCTTAGTAGTATTATATCTGATTATGTAATACTTATTTATTTTAACGGACAAGTAAATCATAGCTAGATTAGATTAGCTGATAATTATTGGGATTATACACCGAATATGTCTTCCCTGAAGTTCTAAAAAAGTATGGGATAAATTATAGGAGCGGGGCATTAGTTCAACTGTTTGTCTTAAACGATATTTATTAAGAGAGAAATTTTTATTTCCAAGATTTACGTACTGAAATCATTTTATACTAACAAAAGAATTTGAGCATCAATAACATCATAGATTGATTGTTAGAAATTTTGATGAAAGCGTTGTAATTTAGTTAGATTTAATTCCAAATCATATCTTAATTTAACTTTTTTTCAAACTAAATTATGTTATTTTAGGTAAAGGTTCCAAAGATGAGCAATCGAAAGCAGCCAAGAAACGTTCACTTTTTCTGGCTCTTGGACGAAGACGAACAACAGAAATGCGTCTTGGGCCAGATGGTAAATTAACGATTGGAGGGTCAGTTATTATTGTTTCTTATTTAAATGTAATCAAAAATTTTTATTTTATTTTATTCAAATTAAAAATTACATTTTAGAATTGAGTCAGAATTCAAGAGACCATCTTCACCCATTGATAAAATTAAATCACTTTTCTGGAAAAGTAAGGAAAGCATAGCAATGCCGACACCTTCTAGCAATTATGCAAATCTTGATTACGCCAACTTTCCATCATCCACTTCGGCAAGGTAATTTTCTTACAATAGATGAAACATTTAATTCAGACGGGTTTTAATCTATAACGTAAAAATTAGAAATCAAAAACTTAGTTAAACGAAAGTTATTTCAGATACGGTTTTACGGATAAAGTTTATGGTGTCTATCCATCATCTCATCTTACACCTCCAATTGCACGTGATCCATTTGCTCCACAATATAGGAAATATACGGGTAATAATTTCATTTTAATTTACAAAAAGAGAAAAATATTCTCTTCCAATTGAAAATTTCAATTTGAGATTTAATTTTAACACTTAAATTTTTTTTGCTAATTATGATCATCATATGATATATTCCAATGATTGCTCCTTTCTTTTTTTTTTTTTGTTACAGCTGCTATAACAACACCTGGTAATAATTATAATCGATATAACTATACAGCTGGTACAAATGATCGAACGTTACGTCATTGGCATGAAGATCCTCACATGTTTTAAGAAATCCAATTGTGCATTAAAATTTCACCATTACCATTTCAATTTTTATACCCAACGAAAGTGAATTTTTTTTATGCTTGATTTTTAATAATGATAAAATTTTATGAGAAATTTTTGCAATGTCAAAAATTCTTTCTTATTTATTTATCAAAAAAAAAAAAAATTCTTTTTTTTTGCTTCAAAAGCTTGACATAATTCCTTAAAATATATAATATATTCTACTAAGTGATTCATTCTGTTTCATCGTTTTTTTTTTAAATGATACTCTGTGATATGATACTAAATAATTGTATCATGATGATGCCTAATTTAAATTTTTACTATATCTATGGCGCTACTGATGATTTGAATTGTAAATCAACTTTTTAAGACTTGAATGTAAATTAACTGTTTTCCTTTTTTCCTTTTTGTTTTTTTTTTTTTTTTTTTTTAATAATAAAGTCGATTTATGCACTTATACAGGTAATAATAGCATAACAGCAATTGCGTCCGATATATTTTCCCAAAATCTTCTTTTCATCTGTTTGGTAACAGTAGCGAATATTTTGTTACCTGTTAACGATTGTTTCAAAAATTGTCATTTAAAATATATAGAAAAATTATGATAAAATACCAGAAGAATAGACAGATGAATTAAATAAATTTTCTTGATCATTCAGGTAATATGATATTGAAATAACAGGTGGAAATGAGAGGCTGCAGAATACATTCTGTTCCGAAGGAAAAACGCTTTTTTTTTTTAAATCTGTTTGCAAAACAAGAGTTAAAATTAACAATAATTAGTTCTTATGTCTTTGTTACAGAATTCAACCTTATCTGGTAAATTAATTAATTTTTAGAAGTTTCTAAAGATAAACTTATTGTGATAATTTGAAAAATATCTTTAATAAATTTAGCAGAATAAACAATATAACTTGTTATATGGTAGAATAAATGATGAATTTTTAAATTCATCATTTATACCATTAACTAAATTTAATCTTTGTCTTTAAAAGTTGGAACAGTCTCAAATTAAATCATTGGGCTCCTTTGTTCTTTATTGCTTATAAGCAATAAAACTTTGGAAATATATATCAGAGCCAAGGTTAAGGTGAATTTGAGCCTAAAAGATGAAAGAAAGCATATATAACACATTCACATTCAGAATACATTTACCGATCGTTGTATTTCCTCAATTATTTCCAAAATTTCATAATCCAAACTGTAATAAATAATGATATCGACATAAAGTAATCATTTTAACTATCAAAAAATATGTTCGTATTTTTAGAATATTAAAAAATGGAAGGTTTTTTGTTTTATAATGGTATTTCAATCTCCAAAAATTATTTTGAATAAATTTAATTCATCGAACAAAAAAGCATACAATAAATTGCTGTAAAAAAAATGTACAATGTATACTAACAATTGCTTTTTAAAAATAAAACAAAAAAAACAAAAAAATTTCAATAAAAGAAAAATTGAAATTTTTAATAAAATAATCTAATAGTTAGTATGATTGGTGTGTAATAGAAAATAGAAAAGAATAATAAAGAAGAAAAGTAAACAACCAAAATATGAATGCAAGAAAGCAATTAAACTCGGAAATGAATTGTTGAAAAATCAAAAATATGAAAAAAAAGCTTTGTAATGAATAAGTTAGTGCTAATAAATTAATTTAATTCATGGAATTTGAAAATTTCAATCTTGACTTTTAGTTTTTTATCTTTTTACATAACTTATAATATATTATTTGTGAATTTATGTATAATTTTGTATAATTTTCCTTTTTTTTTGCTCATATCTATTTATTTATGTACACAATTTCGTTGTGTTATTTCTGGAGCATTCAAATTTGATTACTAATTTTTTACCAACAGCAAGTATTATCTAATGAATAATTGAAAATTAGCATACATAAAGCAGCATTTTTAATCAAGCATAGTAATTTCATGGAGACGTTAGCAGATTTTAAAAATTCTGAACATTTTAAAATTTAAAAATTATTGCTATGTCGTACTATTTCTGGAATTTTAGAAATTTTAATTTAAACTTTTATCTTTATGAAATAACCTCTATGCACTAATCTTCTTCTTTAGAAAAAAGGAATCCGATTTTTGTTCTCATTCTATGTCTACTATAATTATTAAAATTTACTCTGATTTATCAGTTTAAACTTAAATACTATATGGGTCACAAAATATTTGACATATGACAAATATTTCTAAAATTAATAAACATTTTTTGGTATTAGATATTTTTCAATTCCTTATAAATTTTTTTATTAATTTCAGATTTAAAAATTTATCAAAAATTAATTTGTTTCTCTCTTTTTTACATATCGAATATTATCAGTTGTGAGGCCATGAAATGCTAAATATAATTTCCGAATAAAAGAGTTTGCATTATGAAACAAAATTTGCATCATTTACTTCCATTTTAATAACCTATTGTTACACGTAAACATCATAATGCCAAGTTTTTGCTTAATTATCATTCATCATTTTAAGAATAATATCTTTCCATCAATTGTCATCAAATTTTTACCCCAAAAATAACAAAATCCTTTCTGTATGTATCTCTTCCTCCCTCTCTCTCTCTCTTTATCTCTATCTCTCCCTTTCTATCTGTTTATTTTTCTTTCTATTCACATCAAAGTTGCTATTATTTTGAATTCCAATATAATCCCTTCAATTAATCTGAAGATATTTTGAAAATTTTTTCAAATTTATTGTAAAAATAAAAATTTTGAAAACATTGATCCATAAAAAAATTTGAAAACGCCTTTATTCCTTCGCATTAACCAATAAATTGGAAAGCAAAAAAAAAAGAAATAAAATTGCGATGTGATTGAAAATGATATTGTCATCATCATTTCTTGTTTACTTCACGTACACAAATGTTATAATAATTTTAAACTTTCATATGCAAACAATCCGTTTATTCATTAGCCAATCAATAATTGTATTGAAAACAAAAACGGAAAAAGATTACCGTTATTTTTTATTTGCAAAATTTTAATTTATTAATTTGAAACTGAAAACTTCTTTGATAGTTTTTTTTTTTTCATAGATTGTATGTTAAAAAGCAATTTTGATGCATTTTTACTTTTTTTGTCCCATAAAATATCAATCAATTTTAGTCTCATACATATATGCATGACACGCAAAAATTCCACGCATGCATGCATGTAACATGAAAATTGGAAAAAAATTTTTTTCAAATATCTTTCTACATTTAAATATACTCATACAACAAATATCTTCATCACCATATCAAGTTTTAATAATTTCATTATTCAGATTATTGTTGTCGTTTTAAAAATGATGCAACTTTTTTTTTCTGCTGAAGTTCAATGACAAAACAATTTTTAAAAGACAAAATTGAGTTATAAATTTCAAAGAAATTAGCAATAGTTTCTTTTCTTTTCTGTTTTCCATGAAACATAATTAAGGAATGTTGGAGTTTTTGTAAAATTCATTAAATTAATTTTTTTTTTCATGAAATTTTGAAATTCTAAAATCGTGTAAATTCGAAATATGCACTAATTTCTGTAGATAGAGCTTTTGAAATTATGGAAAAACCACAAAAAAAACGCACATTTTTGATATACAGACATTTTTGTATGCAATAAATAAAATTTAATTCATTTCATTAAATTATATTATTTAAAGTCTTTCTTCCACCGTGAATAAATTAACATTTTATATTGCTGAGAGTTCTATGAAATCCAAATTTTCTAATAACTTTCATTTTAAATGTATTAAATTTCCAATCAATCAATATAGTTACCTAATTTTAATTATTATAAGTGCCGAATAATATTGTGAAATGTTTAAATTAATGCAATGTTTTAAAATTATTTTATTTAATCACAAAAATCATGTAATATATTTGAAATTGTAATAAGGTAATGACATCATGATCATTCATTTTCTATCAACGGAATACTTTTATAATAAATGATAATGAAATCATTCAATCAACTCAAAGTAGGTTCTTCAGCTGATGAAAGACTTGTAAGATAGTAACTCCAATAACTGCAAAATTAAGAGAATTAATAACATTTAGTTTAGAAAATAAATGGAAAGATTTTTGTTAATACATATTAAAAAAAAGTGATTCTGCCTATTACAATATCAGATAATTAAAAATTTTCAATTATTTCAATTCATAAAATTATTCCTTTTAAAACTTAAAAAAACAAGTTAATAAAAATTGCTCTTTTGAAATAGTCATGCAATAATTTTGCTTCATTGGATGGTTTTCTATTTTATACATCAATTTTCTAATATATATTTTTTCTCTTATTTCTACTCGTTGCCTTTGCTATTATTGATAAAAGGAATAATGTAATTTTTCGAAAAATTAATTAAAAATAATACTTTTTTGACAAATCCATCTCAAATTTAATTTTTTGAAATTAATTAATGGAAAATAATACTTTTAGATGGATCAATATCTTTAAAAAAATTTTAATAATATCTTATTGCATATTACATTTAACTGTAATATGCAGTAAGAATTTTTTTTTTTTGTAGTTTAACAAAAAATAAAAGCTTTTTGTATCAGATTTAACTAACTGATGAAATAGATGATATTATCATTAATCATCCTACTTCAAAATGTCAATTCGTGACCTTTTAAAAATATAGTTGTTCCACTGACAAAAGATGAATAATCCAACAATCTTGATAATACATACAAACAAAATTTAACAAGCTTACCCGATGTTAAATACGAAATATGCCGTGGGAAAAAATATTGCGCTAAAAAAATGAATTTTATTCAAAATAAATTTTTTGAAACAAAAAATAATTTCAACAAATATTTTTTTGATATGCTAAAATCTATCAATTACTATTGATACATTGCAATTAAAAAGTGAAGGGATGGGAAGGAAGGGGGGGAAAAAAAAACATTAATACCTGTATTTATCGACAACTTCAGGTTCTAATGAATGAAGTATCTTTCGCAATCTCCTAAATCTACACCTGGATTTCCTGTAAATAATACTTTCA